AAAAAAAAAAAAAAAAAAAAAAAAAAAAAAAATATTTATGACTTTTTGTTAATTTCTAGACTGAAATGTAGAATAATGCAAATACTTATTGCATTATTTCTTATTGCATTAATATTTTATATAACAAAGTGCTTTATGATTTAGATTACCTATTTTGCATAATATTAAGCTTTAATTTCATTAAGGTATATGAATTGATGCTGCAAGACGAAAGGTTCTATCCTTCATTCAAGCAGCATACACTTTATGTACGAATGCTTGCTGAGCTAGATATGCTAAAGGATCCTAGTTTCAGAGGATCAGATGATGGTGAAGGGGGTAAGTTGTCCACATCAGGTAGGCTTATACCTGTAAGTATCAATATGTAGGTAGGAAATAAGTAATGTTTCCTCGTTAGATAGTATTTAATTTTTTTTTTTGCTAAGAGGTTTATGCAGATGCACTAAAAATAATTTGGAAAATTTTTGCACACCTCTACATAAAAGAATTGGGAACATTTCATTTTTGGCATAATTTGGCTTTTTTGTTGCTGTTTTATTGCAATTTTCCATGGTAATGTGTTGTGCATGCTTTGATTCTGAAAAGGGGCTTCATATCTCATAGGTGTGAATTTGCTAGTCATTAAAGGAATATGATTATTTTCATACTTCTACAAGAACCTGAAAAAAACATGTTCCTTCTTTAAGAATAACTTTTAGGAGTAAAATTAAATATGGCCTTTTCTTAAGCTTATGCAGAAACTCTTAATGTCTAACACTCTTGTCTCTAATCTTTATATTAAATGTATTTCTACAGTTATAAACAAAGCATAAGCTTGGCTACCCCCTAGTGGCCTATGTTGACAATAGCATAAATTTTCATTTAAATTTTAGCAGTCAATAGAGCTAAGGATTCCCTGCTAGTAATTAATTTGTTTCAACTTATTTAAAAGAGATGGATGGAAATTTCACTATTTCAATTTATATTTCCTAAGTATTATGACTTCAGAGTTGTAATGCCTTAGCTTTTTCTTTCTTTATAATGATCTTAAGTTGTAATAATGTTTAGTTCCTACTGTGTTAAATAGTAAGATTATCCATTATAAATAAATTAATATTGTTAAATAAGCAGGGAGAAATCATATCTCTAAAAACAAGATAAAAAGTGTGATTAAAAGCAATATCATAACTGAGGTGTTATAATACTTTGTATCTAGGCAGTGTCCTAAAATTTACATGTCAGTTCAATTTCTTATCACTCTCATTACCTAATATGGAGTTAAAATAAATGGATTTAGGGTGAAGAAAACATGGTGATTAACTAGTTAATATTTTAATGTATTAACCAGTTAATCACTACCATGTTTCCCCAAAAATAAAACAAGGTCTTATTTTCTTTTGGCCCCAAAAATAAGCACTTAGCTTTATTTTCGGGGAGATATTATTTTTGAGGTACAGTAGGCGGTGAGCATGGTCACCTCATGGCTTCTGCTGTGTTGCAATATTTAGGGGGGGTTATTTAATAGGATATTATTTTTTTCATCCTGACTCCAAATATTTTATATGTGTATATAATTCTAAATTCATGTTTCAATGTATATTTCTATTGTATGGCTTTTTATTTTAAAAAATGTTCTCTTTACACAGAATCATTTAATGGATCCCCTACAGGCAGCATTAATTTGGTAGGTTCTTTTTCAACATTATAGAAGTTCAAAATATTACTCATTTACTTAAGACAAGAGCAACCAATGAAACAAAAACAACACTATAAAGAAAATTTTACATTTTTTAAAAGACCACTGTATTCTGTTGTTATTTGTTTAAAAGAAGTGAAAGTATATATGTATAAATAAGTGAGAAAAGGGTTTGATTTTTTGATCATTTGATTTGATTTGTTTGGTCGTCCTGGTCATCATATATCAGAAAGAGTGATTATCAGAAAAATAATTACTTTCCAATTATGTATTCTGTGTCGCTTTAAAAAAAAAACCCTAAGTCTTAAATAGGTAAAGCATTTTTACAAGTTCTCTGTTTGCACAAAAAAGTGGCAGATAATATATTTTAATTAGAACTTCGAGTTTTATTTTTCATTATGACATTGATAAAGTAAATGATGAGTAAATAAAAGTTAGAATATAGTTTTGTTTTTGAGACTACTTTATTTTATAAGTAATTAAGTAGCTAGTTACAAGAAAAATGTGTGGTTAAAGGCAATAGAACAAAATATACATAGCGCTATTTAAAAATCTAACAGTGTTGGAAAATTAAAAAGGATCAGTAAAAAAAGGTAAAACTCACAACAAATTATCAAAAATCCTGGCAGAATAAAAATGTCTTTGTTTGACATCAGAAAATAGAAATGATAGTACTGGTATACCTAATTTGGAATAAATTCCAAAGTTAGAAGACTGCATTGGAAAAAAAAACTTTCCATTTGTGCAATAATATTTCTGGAATATAAATAATAACTCTGGATTTCCTTTCACCCACTAGTCACTGGATGATCTTTCAAATGTGTCTGCTGATGAGTTGATACAGCTACATGCATGCATTTCAGATACTGGTGAGTTTCATATAGGTATTTGTGTTTTTATGAGAAGGTAAAGTAACTAACTGATTAACCTTTTAATTAACTATTTGTTTAATATAATTTTTAGCCATTATCATCATTTATTTTCTTGGTCGTAATATGTGGAAAATCAAAGAAGAAAAGCTTAAATTAGCTAATAAAAGTCTTACTTGCATATTTAAGATTAATTTTAAATTTACATCCAGTAAAAATGCCTGTCTTATTATCCTTTTTCATGTACCATTTGAGAGTTCAACTTTCATTTCTGTGGTTCTTTCATTCTCTGAACATGTATTTTTTTCACTTGTGATATTTTTTCTTTTATTCAATCAATCATTCTATAAAACCAAAGAATTAACCTCAATATATTAGAATATGCTAAAGATACAATAACAATATGCATTGCTGTCCCCGAATTATGGATTCTACTAACATCTGATATATATCACCTAACTCAGTGCTCTATCACCTTTGATAGTACTACAGATCATTTAATGATCATTCAACGTTTCAATGTACCTTCCAAAAACTATATACAATTCTGTTTCAAAATTATGAATTCTATAGAAGTCATTCAGGCATTTGCCCTTATGAATGACTGTAGAATTCTTCTGTAGAATTCTTAACTTTGCAGAAATGCTGCAGCACGCCCAAATATCTACCCCCCCTCCCCGCATCCTGCCATGCCAGATCCTCAAAGGTACTTGCCTTGCACCATTGAAAACAGGAGATAGATAGTGTCTTATCTTTCCCTCTCTGTTCGGTCTTAATGTTAATGGTCTCTTTGACCTCTCTTTCAAACCAGTGGTTCTTTCTGTCCACATTCTGTTTGAAAGCCATTATATTAAGATTGAACAGCCCTCTCTCAACAGAGGGGGGGGGATATGACACCACCACCTGTCCCCTGTTTACAACACAGTTCTTTCAGCAGTTCCAAGAAGATTCCACACCCATTTGCACTAAGCAGATGACCCTGAGGATATAGGTAAACCTTCAGTGGCTCTCAGAAAGAGAGAGTAAGGAATATAAGCCCTTCCATTCACCACCATTCAGTCAGAATTGAAGAAGCTTCTTGGATGAGAAGTGAAATGTCCTCAAGGAAAATAAAGTCCAGTTGCCTTTTGAAAGCACCTTTGGGTGAATCTATTAAAGTTTTCCAATTTGACTAGGTAATAATTTTTTGCAAGAGATTAATCTAAAATATGGCCAGAAAAAGTTGATCTTCTATTATGACAAATAGCATAAATATTGTTAATTCATCTACCCTTAATTAAAATTACTTATCTTTTATAGAGGAAGTATAACATGAAACTCTAATTAATTTGAATAAAAAAGTTATTTCTATTTTCCTTGCATCTCTCAGATGAGGAATGAAAGTTAAGTTCCAGAAATTTATGTAAGTTTTCTTGTAACAGTAAATAATATATACATATAAACTCATCATATCATTTCCTTTTGAAATAAATAGGGAAAAATAGAATAACACTAAAGAATTTCATGCAGCATGCATGTCCATATTGATTTGACTCCTCTCATTTTCAGCAGTTTTTCATTTCATATTTCTTCCACTATTTCCATCTTTCTTTTCGTCTATCCATTATTATTTATTTTAATTGATAGTCTATGCTGATTATGACCCATATACTATGGCAGGAGTTTGTAATGACCATGGGAGGACATATGCATTATATACTATAACTGTTCAACGTCGAACTGTGACTGCTAATGATGAATGGAAAACATATCGTCGCTACAGTGATTTCCATGACTTCCATATGAGAATTATTGAACAGGTAATTTGAAATTATCTTGGTTTGTTTACTTTTTGAGAAAAAACATTCATTAATTGAAATTAGCAATGGATAAATTTCATTTTGCTTGCTTGAAATCAACTGATTTTAGCTTATCTTATTCTTAAAACAATTCCACAGTACCTTGATTACACATTTAAACTGGTGTAAGCTAATTGGAACCTGATGAAATTTGCATTCCAGACTGTCTGGTTCCAAACTTCAACTATGTTATTATTATTATTATTTTATCTTTTATAACCCATGTACATTGACTTCTTGCAAATATACTTTTTATAAACAATTGCAAAATGTTTCTTAATTGCATTACTCTAGATGTTAATATTGACACAATATTGAAGGCTGGCACAACTAAATATTCATACATGTAGAAAATCTTGTTAGCATGTATGAAAAAAAGAGAATGTAAACTGGGCAACATCTCTTCTTTTTGATAGCTAATTTAGATACTGAGAAAATTTATACTGATCTGTTGTTACTCAAATCTATACCTTCAAGCTAGAGTGGCCAAGTCCAGAAACTGGTGATTGTAAATTCCAAGTGTAATTAGCTAACGATGTAACATAATGTTTTATCATAGTTAATTCTAATTTTCTTATTTATTAAATGTAAATGCCACCTAGCTCTCAGCAACTCTGTGTGGTGATATCTTTACGAAATTAATCAGTAGTACTCTCTCTTGCTGAAATGCTACAACATATGTGTGTGTTTATAATAAATTCTATTTGTTTTTAGTTTGAAAACCTAGGAAATTTATTGAAGCTTCCTGGTAAAAAAACATTCAACAATATGGATAGAGATTTCTTAGAAAAAAGGAAAAAAGATTTAAATTCATACTTACAGGTATGTTCTCATATTCAGATTCTTAATTAAAGATGAGTGCATTTTTTATTTCCCTCCCCCATTTTGAGGAAAATACAATACAATTTATAGGTAATTTAGGATAGCATGCTTTGGTATTATATAAATATAATTACATAAATATTTGAAAAATACCTCAGGCCTCATTTAATGTCCACTCATTAGTGATTGAAGTTATGATAGCACTTCAGGGTGTTTGCAATACACTCATAAGGTTGTGGCCATTTCAATGTCCCCAACAATCACATGATCACAATTTGTGTGTCCTGCAACCAGATCACAATTATAATATTGCAACATCCCTTGGTCATATGACTGCCATTTGAGACTTTCACTACCAGCTTCCAACAAAGTCAATAGGAAAGATGGCTAGAGATCACAAGTGGTGATCATTTGATCATAAAATGCTGCAGTTACCTGGGATTTGCCTAACAGTAGCAAGTGGGACTGCCAGAACTGTCATAATGTTGTATCTTCACTCATTTTACTTAGCAGTTGAGTTCCTGTTAGCACAACATCATTGGTTAAAGACCACCTGTTTGGCTCTTGGGAGACTGGTACATTAAATGAGTTCACTTCCAGATGTAATCAAACCATACTTATCATACTGAGCTAATTGTCCTTAAAATTAATGTGGAATGTGTAGCTTTGGCCAAGGGAAGCTGTGTAGCATCGGTAAAATTGTTCAACAATAATTCAGTAATTCACTCCACTTGGGTAGGACTTTAGGCAGTATATTTGCATTGTATTTGTATTTTAAATTGATTTAAATATATGTATATTTGCATTGTTTTAATTTCAGACCAAAATATTCATCTTTCTAAACATAATTCTCATGTTTTACTTACTAGCTTTTGTTAACACCCGAAGTGATGAAAGCTTATCCGACTTTAGCACACTATGTGTATGATTTCTTGGAAAACAAGGCATACAATAAAGAGAAAGGAGATTTTGCTCGGAAGGTAAGTTGTATTTAATATAATTTAGCAATCAGAAATTTGTAAAGAATACATTGTTTAGTCTGTTTTCATTTCATCAAAACTCAATGGCATAGCCCTTTAACCAATATGATGCAATTAATGTATGAATTTGTTAGTTTGTATAAATACAGACTGCAAATAAGATTTTGGAATAGAACTACTGACTTATTTTCAGAGAACCAATTTTTCAATATAGAATCTTTGTAGTGAGAATATTTTCTTTTGAATGTTTCTTTGAATATGTAGAAAGTGTGGTTAATTCTAAAATTTATTCGGAAATGTAGTGTTTTTAAACATGTTAAGATTTCTGTCCTTTGATCTACCTTTAAATCTGCTGGTCATTTCAGGCATCACTTGCTTTATAGTTTCCATTTGCCTGCTCTAAAGAAAGAATGCATGTCTCCCGCTGAAATTGCTTTCTGAGGTTGTGCAACATCAAAGAATCAAAGCACAGCTTTTTTTCTCATACAGCCCTTGTCAAAACTGATCATTCAGCAGTTAGGATAAAAGTACATTCCTTTGCAAATTTTTTGCACAGGTATCTTTTTTTTTTTTTGCTTTGGCCATTCTTTTTAATAAATATTTTAAAATTAATTGAAGATTTAATTTAAGATTTAATAGCAGTTCTAAAAAATATTTCAACAACCTGAGTTGCTTGGTTCTTCTTAAAACCTTTATGGAATTAAGCAATAAAATTTGTATTGTGTTATCTACACTGATTTTATATGTTGGATAAGAGACCAATAATTCCTTCAAGATTAAGCTGAGAACTATGCCTTGCAAATTTTTCCTATGTCTTCTAATGGTAATCTTTTGCTTGAAATTGTATCAAAAGCAATATTTTTAAAAAAATAATTGCAGATATTTCACAAATTTCATAAATGTGGTCTTTCAATTAGTTTATTATATGTGTTAAAGCAGTGGGTCTCAACCTTCCTAATGCCGCAACCCTTTAATACAGTTCCTCATCTTGTGGGGACCCCCAACCATAAAATTTTATGTTTTCCGTATTTTTTTTGAAAATATGTGTTTTCCAATGGTCTTAGGCCTGTGAAAGGGGTCCCGACCCACAGGTTGAGAACCACTGTGTTAAAGGATGTTTAGTTATCTGTATAAGGCATCAAATCATACTAAAATTTAATAAACCAGCAACTTTTTAAGCATCAACATTTTTGCATAAATAAGAAAAAAATGTTTTTATTTGCTTTCTGATTTATAGAAGGCTTTTCTAAAGCACTAATTGTAATATCTCTATTTCTTGTCTTTAGCTAAATTAACTCAAAAAGGTAGAAACATAGAAGCAAAGCTTCCATATGAGAAGGACATATGGGAAAAAGTGTTTCGGATGTTCTACTTGGGTTCTTGAAGTTTGATAAATGCAAGTTGACATATAAAATAATTTTGGAGATTAAAAAATAGACATTGTATTTCCCAAGTTATGAGGCAGTATTCTTTTTAATTTTACAGTCACTTAATGTATTTGAATCAATTGGAGTTTTTGGACAGTGACTGATAGCTTACTTAGGCCTCGCTAAAATAACTGAACTAAATTACATATATTTGGCTTAATTGTTCTAGAAAAAGTGGTATATTCCACAAAATGTTTGAAAGTTTCTATTTGAAAACTAGATTGAAATCTAGTTTAAAGTGTAAATGGTGAACTTTAATGTGTATTTTATGCTAAATTTTATACTGTATTTTTCAAGCTTAATATATCTTTCTTGCAAATACTTGAATACAGTTAGTCCTCAATTTGTCACCACAATTGGGACTGGAATTCCCAATTGTAGTCGTTAAGCAATTATGCAATTCATTAAGCTGATGGAGTCTCAGGTAAGGAGAATAGAGTTGCAAGGGGCGGGGAATAACTTAGAAGGCTCCACTCAGGAGCTGAAAATATTTGCTATCAAAATGCAAGTAGTCCCCAAATGAACAGAAGCAGTGTTTTGGATGTGGCCCACCTAGGGTCTTCCAAGGCCTCTCCACAAACCTAACGCACAGTGTGCTGCTTCCTTTACTGCACTTACTGCTCTCTAATTGGATTTCAGCGCCTTTCATCTGTATCTATGTGAAAAAACGTTTTGCAAAGGCCAGAAGCACTTCATAGATCACCCTCTCCAAAGCCATTATAATTCTGAACTATTGTTAAACAAATCGTTGGAAGTCAGGACTACCTGTGTATAACATGCTTCCATTTATTTTAACTACTATACTATGTCTTGCCCCCAAGCTGTATCGTTTAGATACTGTTATTCCTGTTTTCTAGACTGCTGTAACTGATATATTTTACATTTCAAAATGTGATCACTCTTTTCCATATTTGGAGTGGCAGAGTAATTTCATAAATGAACAGATGAAGAGAACCAGTGGGTTCTAGATATTTGAAAATGAAATGCAGAACTGAACAGAATACATGGAGATAAATGAATAATATATATTACACTTTATTTATAAACATCAAATAATTTGAACATTAGCATTCTGATTCAATAGTATTAAAAAAAAATCAGCTAATGTCATAACATATGGCATAGAATCTGTTTACTTGAAGGACCACCTATCGCCAATAACATCTGTCCAACCAATTCTATTTTGCAGGGTTGGTACATTATGATTTATTTTAATTAAACAATGTCATTTATCAAGACCTTGGAAGCATATCTCTTCTGTAGCAGTTCCTTCCCTCTGGAAGGAGGCTCCAAGGCTTCTCCTAATATCTGGATGGCTTCCAATTTGCTGTTGTTTAGAAAATCCATGAAGTCAGAAAGAGAGAGAGATCCCTTGCTTTATCACATTTTCTATCTCTTAGCTTTATCTTAACATTTATTCATTTTATTGTCATTTCTTTATTTGATTGTTAGGAGTTGCCCAAAGTAGTTGAGAATTGGGCAACATAAAGGTTTAATGAGTTGTTGCATAGTCAGCCCGATGTGTAGACTGGATTTCCCATTTTTATACTCACATTGAGTCCTTCCCAAGAACCTAGAATAGGCAGATGTTGTTATATGTACAACAATGCGATATCACAGCTGTCACTTCTTTAGCTTACATGGGCCTTCATATGAATCAAGGTCTGCCCCAGAACTAGAATGTAATAATGTATCAGTCTAGAATACATGCCAATCCAAGCATTCAATTCAAATGTTCCTTTTGTAATTGCTAGATGGAATTTTTGTCAATGCACAGATTTTCTAAGTTGTGTCCAATTATTATTATTTATGATTATCATATTCTGGACATTCTGTATGAGAGATAAAACAGGCAATTGCAAACTATGAGGAGTTAATTCTGAAATTATATTTTGCTTTCCTCCTTACCAGCATTCTCTATATAGATCTGTCATTATTTACTCCTACATGGATATTCTCTTACGGGATCTCAAAGTAAAATATGTATATAGTAAGCATTTGCCTGAATTAAAATTTATAGTTGTCTAACGGGCTAATAAGGTTTTATGGTTCACAATTTTCCTTTTAATTTTCTCCCAGCTTTCCAGAACACCACTTTATTTATACATACATACACACACACACACACACACACAAACAAACAAACAAACAAATCATCTGTTAATGAGGCTATGAGCTATGATGTAGAAGGTTTCTGCTGAAAGAGACAAATGGAGGCTTCTATGATTGATGTAAATAACTCATTGATTTCCAACTATTTGGCCTCAGTTGAAGAACTTTGCTCAGTAGCAGAGGAAAAACCATATTTTGCCCTAAGAAATTTGCTGTCAGAATGTAGCAGAGCACATTCTGGGAATTGAATACAGAGGTGGATAAAGAACAAAAAAGAATCTATCTGATGCGGTAATGCTCACTATGAGTATGTGATTAGGATGTTTTATATTCAAGATAATTGAATATGAATGCTTTATATTTATACCATGTATTATTTTTACTAATGATTTTGTGTTACTAGTCTCCAAAATAGTGTTATGTTTTCCAACATGCATTATTGGATGACTATAATCATGTCCTCATAGATTTCTGCAAGCGTGGTAAATGTTTTCCTCTTCAGGTGGACACATTTGTAAATCCACTGCGTAACTCTATGAGAAATGTTTCAAATGCTGTCAAGTCCATCCCTGACAGCTTCACAGAGGGGATGACAAAAATGTCAGACAACATGGGCAAAATATCAGAAAGATTGGGACAAGATATAAAGCAATCATTTTTCAAGGTAAGAATGTACTAAATAAGACAACACAGTTTGTACTGTTTTAGGTTACTTCAATTAAACAAATAAGAAAAGAGCAGGTGAAAAGTTGAATATGTTAATTATTGGTAAAACACTAGTAAATTATTTTATTGTAGAGCTGAAAATATAGTAAATTACCCTGAAAAGAAGCAGACCTGAAGATCAAAGCTGTTTTGAATTTATTCTAAAATAAAAGATGCAACCGGGAAATTTATTAAGAAATTCAGAGGAAATCTGCTGTAGGCACATAATGATCTACCATATTTACCTGATTTTTTGAGCTTTTATGATGTTCTATACGATACCTGAGTTCATAGATTAAATGTTTATTTAAAAAATAGTAGCTTATTAATAATAGAAAACTAATTTAGAATTTATCTGCATTATCAGTTCTTAATAATGTAAATAAATCTCAAATCAGTGTTTTCTACCCCTAATAACCTATCTTTTTTCATTAAAATAATTACAAATGTATTTTTTTATGTTCTGCCTTCCATTCAGAAGTTCATTTTTTTAAAAAAATGTTAAAGTTAAAAAAACTTTGAAAAGCAGAAAATTATCTGGAAAAAATGAATTTGTATTAATAAAATTATGCCTTATAATAGTTACTTAATCTCTCCGAGTTCACCAGTTTAAAAAATATATAGAAGAAAGCAGGAATAAAAAAGAAATAAAATAATTAATTTTGAGCAGTGTGTGTATAATAATAAGTTATATTTCTGGCCAATTCTGCCATTCATCTGTCATTCTTCATTCCAAGTACCGGGATACCAAATTCTATTGCCCTTGCTGCATAGTAACATCCCTGCTGTAGCTGCTTAGTCTACTTACTGGGGTAGCAGTGAAATACTCCAAACTAGTGACAGTGAGAATTTCAAATTGCCTTTTCTAGTCAAGGCTTTTGCAAGAGCTGAAGAGTCTAGACCTCTGATGGCGAATCTATGGCACGCGTGCCACAGGTGGCAGGCAGAGCCATATTTGCTGGCATGCCAGCCTTCAGCTCCCACATGCATGTGCACGCCAGCCAGTTGATTTTCCACCCTTCCATAGGGCTGGGAGAGGCCATTTTTGCCCTTCCCAGGCTTCAGGAAAGCCTCTGAAGGCTGGGGAGTTCAAAAAACGCCCCAAACGGGCCAACCGGAAGTTCGTTCCCGGACTTCTGGTTGGGCTGTTGGTGATGTTTTTCGACCTCCCCAGGCTTCAGGGAAGCCTTCCGAGGCTGGAGAGGGTGAAAAACAGGCCCAACAGTTCGCCATCACTGGTCTAGACTGTCATGACAACCATGGACCCAACTAATTTACTGAGAGTCTCATGTATTTAAGTGATCCAGGCTAAATGAACAGATACAATATGGAAGTGGAAGGAATCAAGCTTAGCCCATTGTCATGGACAGACCCCTCTGTGATTGCTATTTGCAATGGGACCTTTTCCATTATGAAAAATAACCTATTATGTTGGTCCTCCTCCAATTCATAATAGATAAAGAGCTTTGAGAATTTCCTCAGGATGAGGTAACCAGTTTGCTCAAAGCTGTACAATGATATAAGGAAATTATTATGGAACTTGACCACATTACATTACAGCATCCTCTGTCTTCTCACATATCCAATTACATCTTGTGTAGTAATTACAATTCCTGAATTGGGAGCCCTTGTTTATTGGAGTTATCTATTATTGTCTGAGTAGTCACATGTTATGAAAATGTAGTTGCTGAAAGCTTTTCAAGAATAACTGTACACTGTATTAGAGTAATCCAAATGAAAAGTGAGTCATCTATGCCCTACTCACTTTACATTTGGATTACTCTAATACAGTCTGAATGGGGTTACCCTTCAAAAGCTTTACACAAAAACATTGACATAAAATGTGACTACTCAGGCAATAATAGATAACTCCAATGCTTCAGAAGCTCAAGTTCTAGATACAAATCAGGCTCTAGTTGTCTAGTTGTTAAAGCCCTACATAGCTATAGACAGTGATCTGAGGAATACTATATCCTATATGTATATGCCCATCCAGTCAGATTAAATAGGGTCAGATTCTTCTTATCCTGTCTACATAAGAAAGCCATTTAACAAAGACTTGAAAATGGGCATTTTTCCAGGGCTGTTGCTATATCTGGAATTTTTCCTCATGGTCAGCATTTTCATTCTATCCCAAAGGTGCTTTTTCAGGAGGCAACTGGACTTTGCTGTTTTGTTTTTTCTTTTGAATGCGTTTTGGTTCTCATCCAAGAAATTTTCTTCAGCTCTGACAGGATAGTGGGGAATGGAAGGATTTATATTCCTTGCAAACAGCTGGTAATTTGCATCCTTTTAGAGAGTCATTGAAACACTTGGAGGTTATCTGTGTCTTCAAGGTCACCCGAGTAGTTATCCTGATTCCCGCAGTCTGCAATTTTTCCTCTGGAAATCCATTCCTACTCCCACACCATTCAAAGGGTGGTTCATCCCAAATTACATAGATAGATAAAAGACTGTAGAGATTCTCTGTCATGAAGGAAGCAATTGGACTTTCTTGGTTTTTTTTTTTTTTTGCCTCCTTAAAAAGCCCCCTTTTAAGGAGACAACCATGACTTGATTGGCTGAGAACCTGTACAGAAACTCCATTCTGTGTTCATGAGAGCAGTTAAACTAAACCCAGAATGGAGCATACTGTGTCTGAAGTATTGAATTTGGCAGATTACATATCTTTTTAGAACATAGTTTTGATTCCTTATATGATATATTTCATTTGTACGTTTGTTCTTTTTGAGGATAAATATGTTTCGGGTTTGGTGATCATTGTTAGCTGTCTAGTACCATTGGGAACAAACAGCATATAGATTAATTAAATAATATCTGTTGCTTTGAAGGAACATTTTTATCATCAAAGCAACTAGTAAACTACATATAAAGAGCAGGTTTTTTGTGTAAAAATCTCATTTTGATACAATTGGGTGAGAAATAATTATAATAAATAAATAATTCTCACACTTAAATTATAAGCATTGATAATTAATTTTTTCTTAAACCCATAACAGCTTCTGGGTTAAGTTGAAACTTTTTAATGATTTATAAACATTTATATAAATTAGAACAAAATTTTTGTGCTACACATATATACAGATATAATATGTGGGTGTTTTGTGTCTGAAAACATACATGCAGACATATACAATTATCATATTTGTTTGACATTTATAATTGCTCAGTTTAGAAGTTTGCTTAGGTACATTTGATATCCCAAATGAATTTTAGTGAGACTAACGAATCATGTTATAAGTTGTTTGTTGTTGTTGTTGTTGTTTTAAATAGAACTACTGTATTAAAAAAGCCTTGATTTTGATCCAAAATGTAATTTTATACTTGGATATTATGGAAACTTCTACTTCTCACACTTTACAATTTCTTCACATTTCTTTTTCACTGTATAAGAATGGTACACATTATCAACAACGGCAAATTCTATTAAATTATCCTGACTTTATGTCAAACCTACTTTCCTGTTATAACATATTTTCATTTAACCTGTCTTTGCAGTACTTCTTAGAGATTGGTATGCTCTTTGTTCAGTGCCTGAGTTTTATGGTTCAGTGTAGATATAAATAAGTTAGGCCTGATTTTAGACAGGCTAGATATACACAACTCAGATCTATACTAAAATTGCTGGATGGGACATATCTGAAGCAATTTGTTTTCTTTCATTTTTCTCAATAGCCTTGCTTTCATCAATCGTTTACCTATCCCTGAATAAAATATACTTATTCCATTTGGCCTTGTCATTGCTAACCTACCTTTGCTCTGCACATATGAATGCATCTTTCTTTTTAAAGATTATTTAAATATTTGAATACATAAATTTAAATGACTAAATAAAAAGGAAAAGAGATGCTAATTGCAATTGAATATGTTTTCATTTTTCTCTTGTTATATTGATAAGATTTGTAAATTTACAAATACAGGTCTCATTAACTGTACAAATTACATTTGCATAAGTCAAAAATATTATTGGTTAAACTATACTAAAATGAAAACATTATATAATTGATGTCAATATTACATTATACCTTGGTTTAAATTATAAAATCATTGTATAATGTCATATATGCTATATTAGATTGTATTTGATAAATTCAATTTTATTTGTATGTTCTATATGTTGCTATACATTAATAAATATAAAAATGTGGCTGGTTATCATTTGACTACAGATAATAATAACATATTTCAAATTGTGATTTCTTTTAACTTTGATTTAAATATCTCACATATAAGTAAGAGTTTTTAACATATATATGTCTGTTATAAAATACAATTTTGAGTTACATTTTGTTACCCTGTATTTTTAAATGATTCTGTCTTTTATAATTTCTTTTCCCTGCCTGGAATATTTAGGAACCTCCTTTAATGCAGAAGACATATGTTGATCCTAAACATTGTCGAGTTGCAGCACATCTAGATGATAATGTGAGTTAATTGTTTGATTGATTAGTTTCAACAGAAATCAGGCTTAATTACAAAATAGCAAATTGTATAGTCTATTTATTCATTGGAGTGTATCCAACTTTTCATAACAATCTATTTATTTTATAAATTCTTACTGTGCGTGAACAATGTTCTTTTTTTTAACTTCAAATCTTTGTGTCTTATGGTGGATCCTTAGAAAATTTATTTCAATTGTGAAAGCTGTGCATCTTAACAAGGCAGTTTCTTCACAAAGACAAGCCCTGAATGCATGAGCATTGTCCCCTAGATGAAAACATAATAAGATATAAAAACAAATAGCAGCAGAATAAATGTTTTGTATTTCAGAACTTTGGTAAAAAAAAATGAACATTCAATTTCAAATAATTATTGTATATTTATAAAGTCAAAAATTATATTATGAATAATTTATTCAGGTAATACTTAATACAGAGTCCCTTAGTTGAATTTAATAAATAAAAAAATAAAAAATATACCAATTTATTGTTTATTTTAAAATTAGGGATACTTCAAGTTGGATTCTCCATTTCCTTCAAGGTTAAGTAATAGTTGTAGTTATAATTAATGTATATAGATATAGAGGATTATCTTCATTATTTGACATACAGGTAGAAATTTATGACAACCCCTTTTAATCAGTGGGGGAATGGTTAATGGTGATTCTTTCTACAACTTTGGAACATTCTTTTTCTGCCTGTGGCTTGCTTATGTTTTCTAAAACAAAACAGATCCTTAGGTCAGGTGTAAAATCCACAAAAAGGTGCAAGATTCAAAGAAGACTTGGTCTGTGATAGTCATGCAGAACTGATTGAGCATTTCTTTTGATTTTGACTTCCATGACTATACAAAAGAAGCATTTTCAGGGTATTTATAATCTATCAGCAAATGATTATTTTATCACTTACTATGAAACTTTAGGTAATAAATATTCCAAATCTGTGATCCTCTACTTTCCCAAATTCCAAATATATGAAATAAATTGAAAGACATTTTATCTTATTGAGAATACAAATCCACAAGATTATCAGTGATTATGGATACATTTGTCATGGTTCAGATTTCTGCACCTGTTCTATACTTTACATTTTTACTTGCCACATTAAAGCATTCCAGTTGGTATTTCTGTTTACTTATTGTGACTGTGACATTGCCAAATAACCTACTTCATCCCAGAAGTTCTATATGTTTATGAGTTTGTATGTTGTTCTTTTTAATATTATAGATTTATCTATATACCTTGTTTGAATTAATTTTGAACTCTGTAATTTTCTGTGTTCTGACTTCATTATTGATACATTCATTCCCTAATTCATGGTACATTGGTATAATATGGTATTATAATGGTAATGGAATAATGGTATACCATACTGGGCACATTGATTGGTGCTTATTGTATTGTATTTGTATTACAGCATTTCATAATCCATTGTGCATTTTATTGGTTCAGAAAATGCTTTTTAGATGTGTAAAAATTATATGTAAAGGGGCATCAGAATGCTAAAAAGATTTGTCTGAAGTTAACATTTCTAAAGCATTTTGATATTGAAGTTTCAATTTGCAATATGCCACAGCGCTGTGAACTTTAAAGGTGATGAGAAAAGTAATAAATTTCAATAGATAATTGCAAAGCCATGATATACCCTGAGAAGTTATTTACCTCCCTCATTTATTTTCAAAACATACCGTATTTTTCGGAGTATAAGACACACCTTTTTTCCTCAAAAAAGAGGCTGAAAATTTGGGTGCTTCTTATACATCAAATACAGCATTTTTTGCCTCCCGAAGTCACGCCCCTTTCACCAAATGGTGTATAGCCTTATTAAGGCTTTCAGAGAACTCCTGGGGGCTGGGGAGGGCAGTAATTAGCAAAAAATGGGCCGTTTTTTGCAACCCCACCCAGCCTCCAGCAGCCTTCTATAAGCTTCCATAAGGCTACGCATGCATTTTTTTTGACAAAAACCAGGCCCGTTTTTGTGAAAAATGGGCCGTTTTTTGCTCTCCCCCCCCCAGGCTATTCATGCCTTTTATGTGAAAAAAACAGGCCCATTTTCGCTAAAAACGGGCCATTTTTTGGGAGGTTTGCAGAGTATAAAAACTTTTTTTCTTTTGGAAAGCTCTTTAACTGATGAGAACTACACTGATCAAGTGCTGTGCGAGCAGAAACAAAGTCACCGATTTCCTTCTCCAGCACACGGATAATTAAATCTGGAAACATCTACCTACCTACCTACTGTATTTCTCTCTCTATCCCTCTACCTATCTACTCTCTCTCTCCCTACATATCTACTGTATTTCTCTCCCTCTCTCTCCCTCTACCTACCTACCTACTCTCTCTCTCTCTCCCTATGTATCTACTGTATTTCTCTCTCTGTTCCTCTATCTACCTACCTACCTACCTACCTACCTACTCGCTGTCTCCCTTCCTATCTACTGTATTTCTCTCTCTATCTCTTTCTATTTCTCTCTCTATCCCTCTACCTGCCTACCAAACACACACTCTCCCTACCTACCTACTGTATTTCTCTCTCTATCTCTATTTCTCTCTCTCTCTCTCTCTATCCCTTTATGTACCTACCTGCTGTATTTCTCTTTATTTCTCTCCCTCTGTATCTCTCTAGCTACCTACCTACTTTTTTAAATTTTTCCTTTTCAAAACCTTGGTGCGTCTTATACTCCAGTGCGCCTTAGACTCCGAAAAATTGTATTGTATTTCATTAGTTTTTCAGAAAACATATTGGTAGAAATATAGGTGAACTATTACTAAATGTACAGTTGTTCACATAATAGCTTTTAAAAGTAACACTATGTAATGAATTATTAGAAAGTTTTTTATGTGTCTCACAAAAGTGTAAAATGGGGATCCTTTTTAAATTTTTAGTGTTAAATATTAGTAGTTATATTTTGATATATTTTGAATCCTTAAAAACATTTTGAATCACACTGGTAAAAGACCGCAGTAAAGTTTTCTATCTATAAATGTTTAGAATCCTTATGCTTCCACTCCATTTAACAAAATCTGCTTTATAGGGCTAATGATCCTTTCAAATAGTGTCTACTGTAGTGTAGAGCATATCATTTGCTCCAGCACTGTGTGGGTAGAAAATTTATGGATTCAGAAGACCAAAATGGTTTATTGGAAAAGCAAAAGAATAACAACTTCTATTGAAAAGCAATAAACGTTCATGGCCATGGCAACAAAATAAGAAGTTACAACATTCAATATAGAGTGTGAAAACAGTTCAGAATCTTACATTGCTCCATTCTTTTCCTAGATTAGATCAACTGGTAGATTTCACCTTTCCTAGGTGGGTCTGTGCTGAAGCTTATTCTAAGGAAGGGCCTGTGAAGTCTACCTACTAATAAAATTGTTTGTACTTCTAATTAAGTAGGTCTTAAGGCCTTGTCCAGTGGTCCTCTGCATGCATAAATAGAAGGGAAGCTTATATGAAAGTTAAACAGGAAAATAAGAGCTATCATTTATTTTTCCTTCATTACAGTATTCTACAACAGTAGCCTTACAGTGTCATAGGAATCTTTGGAAAGAAAACATGTGGAAAATTATCTCATTTTTATGTCATTATCTGCTAGATCAAGTAGGGATTAATTTTACTTGAAAGAATAAATATTACTGGATCTAATCCAATATAGTTGCTTGAACATAAGAATTCTAGTATTAATAAACATTTTTAACAAACCAGCAATTTAATGTTGTTTAAGTTAAGTAATCTTTTGTCTTTAAACAGTGAGTACTCCATTATATTTTATTAGGTAGAAGACAATGTACCTCTTAAAATAATGCTGCTACTCATGGATGAAATATTCGATCTGAAGGAGAGAAATCAGTGGCTACGACGGAATATCAAAAATTTGCTTCAGCAGCTTATTAGAGCAATGCATGGATATACAATAAATAAGTACTTTTTTCATTTCCTTATTCTTAAAAAACTGTGCATTAGTGGAAAAGATACAAATCTATGCTCCCACTTTTAAACATCAATTATATGAATATGGCTGTACAGGTAGTCCACAACAGTGAAGAACTGTTATGGCACAGTGGTTAGAATGCAGTACTGCAGGCTACTTCTGCTGATCACTGCCAGCAGTTTGGCAGATCAAATCCCACCAGGCTCAAGGTTGACTCAGCCTTTCTTCCTTATGAGGTTGGTAAAATGAGGTCCCATATTATTGGGGGCAATATGCTGACACTGTAAACTGCTTAGAGAGAGTTGTAAAGCACTGTTAAGCGGTGTATAACTCTAAGTGCTATTGCTATTCACTTGACAAATATGAAAAGTTGTAAAATAGAGCAAAACTCGCTATCATATTTCCAGCTCCGGGATGCAGATGGATCCTGGTAAAATGCGAGCTGTGTTGGAGTGACAGGCACTCAAAATGCAGAGACATCTGTAAAGCTTCCTTAGCTTTGCCAACTTTTATCGGCAGTTTATTCCATCGTTTGCCAGGGTGGCATTGCCATTGACTGAATTACTCCACACAAAGCATACATCAACAAAGCCATGCCCTGGCCAACTGCTCCAGTGAACAGGGGAGTCTCAATGGGCCTTCGAAATATTGAAAGCCCTATTTGCTAGAGAGCCAATCTTGAAATACCCCGACCCGAAACAGCTGTTTGTCATCCAGGCTGATGCGAGTGATGTGGCTGTGAGACAAGTTGTAAAATGGAGCAAAACTTACTTAACAAATTTCTCACTTAGCAACATAAATTCTTGGCTCAATTGTGATTGTAAGTTGAGGACTACTTGTATTGTGAATTAGAGAATGAATATGATATGAATAACTGCTTTTCTCATATTGCTGGGCCTGCAGAGAATAGACAAAGGAAAGAAGAATTTGCCTGAGCATCCTCCTGTTTCATAATTGTTTCATCAGACGCCATACTTCACACCAGCAGTATTTACAGTGGGAAGATTTAAACAATATAGCAATATAACCAAGCTTTACTTTTTGTATATATAACACCAATACAATGCAGAAGGGTGGAGCTCCAACATGCTTAATGTTTTTGATGTCCCTGTCTACCAAGAGCCTATCAGATGACATACTTGTATGGATAGGACCTGGAGAAAGTTGATAATATTTTATCTGCTGGGCATGCAGATGGATATGGAGAAGCTGATTCATCACATAATGATGACCAGCCCTATTGGGCTTTAAAGGACTTTTAAAACAACAGCAAACAGTGCAATTCCCAAAGCATTGAGGATATCCTTAGAATTCATCAATCACCATCTGAGTGCTGAATTTTTGTAAAACTTCTTCAGGAGCAGCTCCCTATAGATTATATTATGATATTCTTAAAACAAATAACTAGGGCATGAGTAATTGAATACTCTCTTGACATTTATTGCTCCATCTTTCTGAATAAACTAATACATAAATAGATGCTCTGTTTTCTTGTTACAAATAGAAGCTGAGGTTCCATTGCTGCTTATGGTCCAGTTTTTTTATGTACCGTATTTTCACAACTATAAGCCGCACTGAAAATCCTAAAATTTGATAAAAAACCGGCAGTGCGGCTTATAACCCGGTGCGCTTTATATATGAAAAAAGTTTGAAAAATTAACGTTAACTGATACTGCGGCTTATAATCCGGTGCGCCTTATGGTCGTGAAAATACGGTATTTAATAAAACTAAAATAGCAATTTGTGCCCTATCTTCTGGTTGCATTTAGATGGGAAACCGAGAGTGAAATTATCATTAAATTAAGTTTCATCATAAATATCAAGATTAGCTGTTTCTAATTCTCAGTAATTATATGACATTATTAATAAGCCACAAAGAAAGCTCATAGGAGCTTTCGGTATTCTGAATACTGTGCAAATATGTTTTCAGACAGCATATTAACCAAATGTAAAAATACTTTAGCAATTGTATCCGCAATAAATTTGTTACAACAGAGGATATGTATCTGTCAAATGGAGCATATACCCTTCTGTTCTCTTTTTTTCACTATTGTTATATTTTTGATTCTTTGTCACAAGGAGTTTTTAAAATTATCGTGAAGTAGGTTGGATTCATTTGTAGTTGACCTTAGAGGTGTTCTTGTGACTTTAATGGAACCCAGGTTCAAGTAATTTAGTTTGGATACAGATATATAAAAGCAAACACTTATTTCAAAATTATTAATTCAGACATTTTATTTCTTTCAGAAAAATAGTTGATCATGTTGATTGGATGACATCTCCTGAACAAGTAGCAGATGCAGTTAAACGGTTTAGGTAGGTCTTTAAAACAAAGACAGGTTCCCTTAAAGTTAATTTTAGTGGTTACAAGATATTTTTTTCTTCAATAGAGCTTACTAAGACTTAACATATTATTAGCCATTTACAAAAAGATTTACTTTGTAGAAAGTAACTGATTTGTAAAATAATACAAAAAGAAAAGAAGGTGTAAAAACCCTCTGCAGTAAAAATTCAAGCTTTTACTTCTGATTAAATGCAATAGCTTTACAATTACTCCTCATTTGGTAACTACCTTGGTTAACAAATTCACAAATGCAACATTCAGGAATACAGTAAATTAAAAATCATTTTCTGATCAATGCATACATTTATCACTAAATTTCTGGTACTTGACTACAAAAGTGTAAAAACTGTGTAAACTGTGTAAAACTGATCAATATCTGGTCAATTTCAGGCAATAGTAGCAGCTGGCCAGAGAGTTCAATCAGTTAAGGTCATAAAAATGAGCTTGCTAATTTGCAGTTAGTGCTTTTTAGAGAAGCACTATGCTGCTGAAAAGGGCAGATCAGGAAGAGTTAGCTTGTTTAATCAATTCATCTACTTGTGAGGAGGCAAAAAATGAGAGTGGGGGGGAAAGAATGTCACACACACAGGATACCATAAGAAAGAATTTTATCTGAATAAGGTGGCAACAACCAATGATCTTTGTAGTCTCTTTCACACAGTTATGTGTTCACTTAACAACCAATCATTGGAAAGAAATATAATCACTAAATGAAGAGAGAGTGTATGTAACTTTTCATATACCATCTAGCTAGATTTTATTGATTCCTGAGCTTAATATTGTTTCATTGGGCTCCACCTTATAAGTTGGAGCACAGTCATATGCGTAATGCCAAAGATATTATAAATTCAGTAAATCACTCAAAAGCTTAGTCTAATAATGCACATATATTTATCAAGAAAAAAAAACATTCAAGTTCTGTGGGTTTTTTTCATGCAAACCAGGCAAAATGTATTTGGTAACAGCACTATTTTCAGATATTGGAATTCTAAAATGATAGTCATTTTAATAAGTAGATTTTTCTCTTTCTAGAGATGCCTTTTGGCCAAATGGCATTTTAGCTGAAACTGTTCCACACAGAGATCATTCAATCAGAATGCGAACACGAATTGCTGCAAAAACAAAACTGCTGGGAGTAATGCCTGGTACGTGAAATGTGTTAAACTAATGAACAGATATAGGAAATACCATCAAATGTAATAACTAAATAAAATCCATGTAAATGATGTTTTATAAAACAAGTGGAGAAATAATACTTGTATTAAAAAGGTAATCTTTCTTGAATGTAATATTAAACTTTTTACAGAATCTATTTTAAACAGTATTTTTAATAATTTATAATCAGAAATTCATTCCATTAATGTATATGTGAAAATGAAGATAAAACTTTTACTGAAGTTTGTTTTGTGGTTTATCTAGATGAGCTGAAGCATATCCTTGGTGCTGAGACAACAAGAAAAGGCATTCTCCGAGTCTTTGAAATGTTCCAGCATACTCAGCTAAATAAGAGAATGGTATATGTTTTCCTGGAAGGCTTCTTGGAAACTTTATTTTCAGAGTATGGATTCCATGATCTCTTCAAAAAATTGCATTCACGTTCAAAACAGATGCAGGTATATAAACATAAACTACAATCTACACAATCATCTTATTTACAGAAAAGGTGACACTCTCTACTGTAATTTGCCCAAAACCTGGGCATGTTCTCTGGGGCTTAAAACTCATGCTGTTATTCTCACACCAATCTTTTAGAATCGTATATTAGATCGTTAATACATACATAAGAATTGTGGTGGTTCTCATTTTTCATCACTAATGCAACCACTATCATGATTTGGATTCATGTGTTTTAAATGATTTGGTGTATCTTTGTGTAACATTGAGAAGACTACTAGTCTGCTGTGAAAATCTCTGTCTCTTCCGAATCTTATAGATTGTAATTGCGAACAATAAAAAATTCTATGTTGGGTCCATTGATTAAAGTAAAGCACAACTTCTAGGATGGAAATAGAGGACTTGACTGCTTTGCTTGGAACTAGGAGATTGTGCAATGTGAGAATCAAGTGTGATTTGATTTGTATTATGAGTGTCTCTTAGCTCTGCAGAAGTTGGACTAGCATGATAAGAAGTCTAGTGACAAATGGTTGTAAAAAAATCTATGCTTTCCAATTATTTTTCCAAATTAAGTTTAATATGTGGAAAACCTTTATGAACTTAAGAAACACTTAGTTCAAGTTTTACTAAACAGTGGAATAGGGAGGGGAAAAAACCATAGGTTTAAGGGTCTTGATATATTCTTCAAATTACTTCTTTCAGGGGTACATATAACTTTTAAATGAAAAGGCTCAAAACAATATTTAAAATTAAACCAAGAGTTAGTACATTTATTTCTTTGTTAGTAATCTGGGAGATTGGGAAAGAAGCAAAGAAAAGTACTATGCTCTTGACATTAGGATCTTCTTTTAAAAAAATAATAATCCTATTTGACCTTAAAGAAATCACTCTGATACATTCACCTCAGCTGGTAAAACACTAAAATGAATTGTTACTGATTATTGTTACTGATGTGAAAGTCTTACAGACTTGCTTTTAATGTTTTTGCATAATATAAATTTTAAAAAATATTTTCTACATGGAATGTCCTATCTGTTTTCTTTATTTCCAGCATAATGTCTAATTATGAATGAAGTAATAATCGTTTGGACTTGAATTTACATTTTTGTTTCCTTATTTTTCTTCAAGAATCCCTGACACCACCAAAAAGTACAGTTTATTTGTTTCAATTTCAAAATAATATATTATGTAGTCTATTTAAAAAGATTTTTAAATCCCTAAGAATAGCCAAACTACAATATGTACTATTAATATACTATTCTTATATTGAACCTTTTCATTAAAAACATATGGTTCATTAACATGATTTCTTTTGAAGAAATGTTTGACTTTTGAGTGTAAATACTATTGTATTTGCAAAGATCTTGTAACTGAAGTTACTATTTACATTCAGGAGAAAATAATCTGCAGCTTCAAAATAAATGAAAAGTGAGCAGCATTGCTTCAAGTTTTTACATGTTTCATTTAATTTAATTTCATTTATTGAATTTCTAGGCCGCCCAATCCCGAAGGACTCCGGGCGGCTTACAGAAATGAAAAATTAAAATTATTAAAAATTATTAAAAATTTCATTATGTTCATTATAAGAAGCATGTGCTAAATTGCAATTGTGGCTTTTAAAAAATATATCATTACAGATCTATATACTATATGTGTAAGTATCTTTTAGTGGTACCAGGATAGTTTAAAATAAAATACATGAAATATCATTTCCTGTCTATCATGCCCCATGCTTCTAAATATAGATAACTGTTGACCTTTAATAAATTTCTGGTTTTTGATTTTTTTTTCTTTTTCCCATTTCTTAATGAAAAGTTAAAAATAGTTTGGCTGTACAAATAATAATGAGATTTAGATATATAAATGTTTCTATTTTAAAAAAAAATTATTTTACATAGAAAAATAGGACCCCAGTCCATGGTCCTAGCATTCTGGTGTTCTTTGCATTTTAACTGAAGGAATATTGGATCCTTTGAATTACCCCTGCAGTGTAAACTTTCATCCTCTCAACAGGTATATTTGACCTCTAAATGTCCTTGTATTCCAGGCAGTTGATTTTTAAAGAGTGGGCAACCAGAATCTACATAGACCATCAGACAAAGGAAGCCCAATGAGAGACAAATTAGAACTATCCTTCGATTTCTTACTTGAACTTGAAATAATTCTTGTAGATTTTCTCAGATCTAAAATACAAATGGACAAATCTCAGTCAGTAAAATAGAATGTATCTCTTATCCATGAATATCATCTGTAGGTTTTAGGATTATTCTCAGTAGTTAACTTTAGAAATTTATTTCGTAGCCAATAAACCATTGCATTAAGGAAACATAATATGTCTTTTATGTTAATGGTTACTATACCATAGTGTTTTGTCATCTGTATTTAATTTCAAAATGAGCCTACAGGGAGTTAGCATGTTATATACATTGCCCTAATAAATGATTATAATTAACTCACATGTGATCCATTGACATTACATGAACTGTAGCCCATCATTTTATACCCTTTAGCGCATCCACAGAATTTACGTTATTGCTGCAGATAATTAGTCACACAGATCCCAGCCTGAGAATGCTATGACTAGCCTCTAAAAATAAATGTGCCATTGTCCAACAAATGCATTTAGCCTTAATTTAAGAGAATGGATAGTAAGGTTGAATATTCATATAGTTCATCCTCAAGCTTCCGCCTCTGGTATTGCTACGATTAAACAATTTTAATGCTGCCAGAAAGTGTAATAATTTTAAAAAATAAAATATGAACTCCACTCTCAATTCCAACTTTAGTGCAATATTTTCATGTAATGCATGTGTATTTGAATAATTGTAAAAAAACATTTTTAAGGTTTTGAGATCAAGGGTAAACTATATTAACAATGTATAATATTCAGTTATTGCTGCTGTGTTGGCTTATCTAACGACTTGTTTTAAAAGTCTGGTTTGTCACTCCTTGAAAATCTTTTCTATGCTCAAAAAAGCATAGTTCTTACTTTGCAAGGAGCAAAATCTAAAGAGCACATCAACATGTAGAAGATATATAAGTGACATGTGCATAAAATTGTATAGTATGTGTCAACTGCGTGCCTAATGGTTCTATCAATATGCTTTTCTTTAAAGAAAAAAATGGGTAAATGGAATGCCATATTCTCTTTTGTTCTGAACAGCTGAAAACTCTAAATTTTTATTTGGAGTTTCCATTATGTTTTGTCCAACGAAGGAGCTTGGAAAAAAAGTACACTAATAAAGCATTAACAAGAAATATTTGCATTTGACCCATTTATTTGCCTTGTGTAAAAAATGTACAATCTATGAGGTAACAACAATGTATTTCTAATATTAACAGTTAAATTCTGTGTCCTAATAATGGATTTTGATTCCTGCTAAAAGAACAAATTGTGATTTAGCTATATTTAGAAATCATTTATTTTGGCAAATGTACTAAGTATGATAGTTATTTAGAACAAACATACACAAGCTTATGTTTCATTTTCATTTCATTTCATTTTATTAAGCATTTATAGGCCACCCTTTTCCCTGAGGGGACTCAGGGCGGCTTACAATAAAAAGGGAGGGGAGTGCAGGACAAAACACAAAAAGAAAATGTGAATAAAAATAATTAGCAATAAAAAACCCAACATTCATTCAACATTCGGGAGGGGCGAGAGTAAAGTCTTATCCCCAGGCCTGACGGGATAGCCAGATCTTGAGGGCTGTGCGGAAGGCCTGGATGGTGGTGAGGGTGCGGATCTCCACGGGGAGATTGTCCCATAGCGTCGGAGCTGCAACTGAGAAGGCTCTCCTCCGCGTAGTCGCCAGTCGGCACTGACTGGCGGATGGAATTCGGAGGAGGCCTACTCTATGCGATCTGATGGGACGGAGGGAGGTAATCGGCAGAAGGCGGTCTCTCAAATAGCCAGATCCACTACCATGGAGCGCTTTATAGATGGTAAGAAGGACCTTGAAGTGCACCCGGAGACCAACAGGTAGCCAGCGCAGCTCACGGAGGATCGGTGTTATGTGGGCGAACCGTGGTGCGCCCACAATCACTCGCGCGGCTGCATTTTGGACTAGCTGAAGTCGCTGGATGCTCTTCAAGGGCAGCCCCATGTAGAGCACATTTGTGGACCTGTAGTTCAATTACACTTACTATAAATAGTGGTAGAAATGTATTAGGGCAAACAAAGATCCTTTAGCTGTTTTTTCCTCTTAAACTTTGTTTTTCACAGCTGTGGTTTGAGTACTGGGACTCTTGCTCTGCTTGGTATCTATAAACCCTCCAGCTATTTCAGATTCATCTTAGAACAAACAATAAAGAGTTATTTCAATCAATCAATCAGAATATAGCTGGAAGGGACCTTGGACATCTTCTACACCAGCCCCCCTGCTCAAGCAGGAGAGCCTATACCATTTCAAATAGGTGTTTGCCTTCATCGATAAAGCTCCTACAGCTTTCGAAGGCAAACTGTTCCACTTATTAATTGTCCTCACTGCTAGGATGTTTCTCCTTAATTCCAGGTTGCTCCTCTCCTTGATTAGTTTCCATCTATTGTTGCTTGTCCAGCCTTCTGGTACTTTGGAAAATAATTGTCCCCTTTTGGGGGGGGCTGTTATCATGGAATACTGTTATCATGTCATCCCTAGTCGTCCTTTTCACTAGACTAGCCATACCCAATTTCTGCAACCTTTCTTCATATATTTTTGCCTCCAAAAACCCTGAACTACAAATATTCTCTTGCTTTGGTACAATTCCCATTCTTTTAGTACAATTGCCATGTTAGCCAATTTCGATATAGAGTTGCCAAGAAAATGACATTGATATCACTTAGAATCAAGGGTTGATTATTATCTAAAGATTTCTTTTAAAACTCTGTCACTTTTTGTTAACACCCCCCGTGTGCTAAAATGCTTATTTTAAAATAAACTTGAAATAGCAATTAAAATATAGTTATCCAGTTATTTATTGAAATTAATTAAGTTTATAAGAACAAATCTGATGCATTAGGCTCTAGAATGCAGGACTTTTACAACTATCTTTTGCAGAACTCTAGAGCTTAACAGGCTTCCAAGAAACTAAGGTCACACAATACAAATTTCAATCTACTGTAGTTGTTTGTTTATTAGTTTGTTTGTTTATTAGTTTGTTTGTTTCTTTATTTGTTTGGGTTCTTGATTTCAGGAAAAAAAGTTTTTAGCTAGCTGGTTCCACAAGCCGAAAAAGGTGAAATCATCCGTTCTAATACCATCCTAAGAAGGTTTGAACGTTGGGAATTTTCATTACATCCAGTAACAAGCAATGACAAAACCAATCTTAGGATACAATGAAACAGAAAGATTTTGTGATCAGATCATTTAATTAAGAAATGTATTATACAAAGTAGCTTTCCTATTGAACTTGGCTATTGCATCAATACCTTTAAATCTAACCAAAACATGTTCCCAAAACAAAATGGGGCTTTGCAAAATAAATCACATATAAAGTAAGTGATGAAGGTAAACTAATGAACAAGTAAACTAAATTTCTGCATACTCAAATCAGTTTTCCACTTTAATTTCTAGATGAAAACCAGCAAGTGCTTACATTAAATACAATAATCATTTCCATAATTTCTGTGATAAACTACATGATAAGTTAGAACCAGCCACACAATTTTCAAAAATTCATTTCCCTGAAATTTTTAAGTATATGATACTTATTTACCAATTAGATTTACAAATCTAAGATGGATTCTGAATTAATTAATTTAAAAACAAGTAAAATAAAACAAGATTTTAAAAAATAATTATGTGAATATAAATTATATTACTATGGTGTTGCTTTTTTTATTACAACCAACATATTCTGTTATCAACAGGGTTTGATCATTTCTGAGTATCTTACTATTTTAAAAAATAAGTTCCTGCTTTTTTTAATAGGGAATTTATAAAGGGTCACAGCAGCATTAAATCTGTTCTAATTCAATCTAGCTGCTAATCATACAAAGAACAAAGAAAGTGCAACCAAATATGGACTAAATGTCAGTTGGCACCTGTTTTCACCATCACAAATTGTTTTTATTCTCACTGCATTTTACACCTCTTAATTTAATTTGTGTCTGGTCCTCTCTCATTCCAGCTGTCCAATGTTATAAAGCATCCACTCCTACCAGTATTATCAAGGGTATTGCAGGTTCCACCCAGTGAGCCAAGAAATTCAAAAGTGTTAACACAGAGACTGCAATTATATTGTATATTCTACTTGATGGTAATTCAATTCCCAACCTGAAATGGAACTAATATATTTTAATCCAGCTGCCAATTTTCCTATTGTAACAAAAGATACTATATATAAACTTGAAATGCAAAATTACCCTATCTGGTTTTGTAGAGAATAATAATGCTTTGGTGTTGCTTTCAACATCTTGATTATATTCCTATTTACTTGGAAAACATTTAATTGCAGTACTACCATCTCAAATAATGATTATATATGGATCACTAAAGACCAGAAAACCAACATCCTTCACCCCCCTCGCCTGCCAGACCTGTGTATCATTTGACAAATCTATACATTGAGAAACATGCCTACACAATGTGTGCGTGTGTGTGTGTAGATAGATAGATAGACACACACACACACACAATACATATATGTTTACTTTTTCCAACTGTTCATTGTTATTAATAAAGATTAACAAGCTTTATGAAACAAAAAACAGAGTTGGAAGGGCCTTGGTGATCTTTTAGTCCAACCAACCCCCTGCTTAGGCAGGAAACCCTACACCACTTCAGACAAATAGTTATGCAATATCTTCTTAAAAACTTTCAATGTTTAGTGATGCCAGCCATTAGAAGAGAAGTTTTCAGAGGTAATCATCTTAATATTATGCAATCAAACCAAAACAAGTTTAAGGACATATAAGAATCAACAAATGTATGAATACAAAACATTTCATATTCATTTCAACACATCTAAATATACAGCAAAATTATATATAATGTAAAATTATATATTTATAAACATCATTTTTAATGTTCTTTTGGTTATCTCTTATTTTGGAGATAAATGTATTCTTCTCCAAAAATCAAATGTTAAGTCATAATTATTCTTTATGAAATCTATTGTGTATACATGTGTGAGAGAGACAGTATATGCACCTTTCTCAGCTGCTTAAGTTTCTACAAACAATAATTGGATTTTGAGACAACTGATTGAGGTGTGACTTGGAATTTTTGCTTTGATCATTCAATACACCATTTAATGAGAAGAGCACTTGCAGATGTAAATTCCAGCTGCTGACTTTTTGGTTACATCTTACCCCGAAGAGCACCTGCTAAGGGTTGAGTAATTATTTTGAAGTTACATGCTAAGCTTTTAAATGAGAGCTGGTTCCAATATATTTGATTGATACGAGAAAACAAGCATCAAGCTTCGTTTGAAACATTTCCATTGCATATTTAAGTTATGGGAAATATATAAACGAGTTAAATAAATAATTGCTGGCCAATGATATTTCAAGCTGAGTAAGTTACAATAAACATTTCAGTGTTTTACTGTTGCTACAGTTGTTCTTTCTATGTTAACTTATCCAGGTAGCATAGATTGACATTTAGGCATATCCTAAAAACACATTCTTTTTATTTAGTATAAGCTAATAGTATGGAATTTTATTTCTTGCTTTAAGAGAAAAAGCTGAGTATATATTAATTTATTCAAAGGAAATTTGGAAAACATAGTTATGGAAAACGGTTCTACTAATTACTTGGCCTTAAATATTCCATCCCTTACTTCTAGTACCATATTGCAATTCTCAGAAAATTTCTTTTAAGTGAAGCCAGATACTATGATCAAAGTTTTTTTAAAAAAATGATATACCCTAGGAATAAAGTGATCAATTCCAATTTTCTTTGGAAGTGGTCTTGGCAGTTCATTTTTCATACATGGTTTTAATTTCACTTTTTGAATCTTCTGTGTTAGTTAGTTTTTTATTCTTAACAGTTGACCAGTTAGGCTTAATGTTGATTTATTTTAACCTCTGATGGACTGGGTTTTTTCTTTTTTCTTTTGATTTATGTTGTTTTGAATAATTTTGGTTCTCCATAAGAAAGCATGGGAATGCCCTTGAATAGTGAAGGGTTAATGCATTTTGTTATCCAATATCTAAGGGGCTGTCAGTTTATTCTACAAAACACTTGAAGGTAGAAGTTAGAAGCAATGGATGGAGAGAACCAATCTAGAAATAAGCGGAAATTTCCTAACACTTAGAACAATTAATTAGTAGA